TTGACTATTTCCTTCCTTCTGCTTGCTCTGGGATTTATTTGTTGTTGTTTCTCCCATTCTTGAAGTTGTAGTGTTAGATCTTTTATTTGAAATGTTTCTATCTTTTTTAGGTAGGCCTGTATTGCTATGAACTTCCCTCTCAGGACTGCCTTTGCTTTGTCCCATAGGTTTTTGACTGTTGTATGTTCATTTTCATTTGTTTCCAGAATTTTTTTGATTTCTCCTCTTACCTCATTATTGACCCATTCATCGTTTAATAGTCTGTTGTTCAATCTTCATGAGTTTGCAAGATTTTGACGTTTCTCTCTGAAGTTGATTTCCAGCTTCAAGCCCTTGTAGTCCGGGAAAAAGCATGGTATTATTTCAATTTTCCTGAATATGCTGAGGCTTGCTTTGTGTCCTTTTGTGTCATCTATCTTTGATAAACTTTCATGTACCTTGGAAAAGTATGTGTATTTTGTTTCTTTGGGATGTAAGGTTCTATATATATCAATGAAGTCTGTTTGATTCAGTGCATTACTCAGCTCCACAGTATCCTTGTTGATTTTTTGTTCAGAAGATCTGTCCATTTTTGACAATGGAGTGTTAAAATTCTCTACTTCCAGTGTGTTAGTGTCTATATCTTTTTTGAAGTCATCCAAGATTTTTCTTATATATTTGGGTTCTCCTATGTTGGGTGCATATAAATTTATAATGTTTATGTCTTCTTGATAGATTCTTCCTTTAAGTATTATAAAGTGCCCCTCTGGGTCTCTGTATGGCCTTTGTTTTGAAATCTGTTTTGTCTTATATAAGTATCTGTATCCCTGCATTCTTCTCTTGCCCATTTGCTCAGAATATTTTTTCCATCCTTTTACTTTCAATCTGTGTAGGTCTTTTGCTCTGAGGTGGGTCTGTTGTAGGCAGCTTATGTGTGGGTCATGTTTTCTCATCCATTCAGCTATCCTGTGTCTTCTGATTGGGGCATTTAGGGCATTTACATTGAGAGTTATTACTGATAGAGACCTATTCATCTTTCCTCTTTTTACCAGTGTTTTTCTTTTTCTCATTCTTTTTCTTCATCTTCTTAAGCCTTTCCCTTTAGCATATCATATAGTGCTAGTTTGGTGGAGACGTAGACTTTTAGCTTTCCTTTTTCTGGGAAAGTCCTTATTTTTCCTTCTATTTCAATTGAAATCCTTCCTGGATAGAGCAGCCCTGGTTGTAGGCCCTTGCTTTTCATTACTTGGAATATTTCTTGCCATTCCCTTCTGGCTTGTAGTGTTTCTGTTGAGAAGTCAGCTCCTAGGCTTATCCGGGCTCCCTTGTATATTACTCCCTGTTTCTCCTTTGCTGCCTTTAGGATTTTCTCTTTGTCTTGATAGTTGTCATTTTATTGATGATGTGTCTTGTAATGGACCTCCTTGGGTCCGTCTTGAATGGGGCCCTCCATACTTCCTGGATCTATGCGACATTTTCTCTCTTCTAGTTGGGGAAATTTTCCATCATTAGATTTTCAAAGAGGCTCTCTATCCCTTCATCCTCTTCTTCTTCTGGTATCCCTATTATTTGGATATTATCGCATTTCACGTTGTCCTGCATTTCTCTAAATGTGTCGTAATTCTTTTTAGTCTTTTTTTCCATTTCTTGTTCTTTCTGGGAGGTTTTTTCTACCTTATCCTTCACTTGCTGATTTGATCCTTGGCTTCATGTAGCCTGCTTTTGATTCTTTCTACTGTGTTTTTCTAATCATAAATTATACTCTTCAGACGAGATCAGGCGAGTTCAGGGAGAAGAGGGAAGGTTTGGGGGGGAGCGGGGGAAAAGGAAGGGAAGGGGAAAGTCAAGGAACATATAGCAAGAACTTATGGATAAAACCAAAGGGGATGAGTTGAGGAAGGGAGGGAGGGAGGGAGGGGGCAAAGGAAAGTGGTGGGGGGAAGGCAGAGAAAAATATATTTGAAAAAATAAATTAATTTATAAAAATAAATAAAATAAAATAAAATAATAGAAATGGTATTCTTCATATCCTCTTGTTTCTTCTTCATAGTTTTATGTCCTTTTCCAGGTTGATACAGTTTGCTGAAAGATCCTGATAGTTTTTCTGCAGTTTCTAATAGTTATCTTTGAGCTGACTGAACTTCTTGAGCTTCCTTAGAGCCATTGTTTTGAATTCAGTATCTGATAATTCACTTGCCTCTATTTCTTTTCGCTCTCTCTGTGGGGATTCCTGCTTTTCCCTCATTTGTCGGGAACTTTTCTTTCTGCCCATTTTTGTGAGAGTCCATTTTATTTACTTATTCATTCATTCATTCATTCATTTATTTGCTTCTTCTTCAATTGATCCATCTAGATTTCCTGACTTTGTGGATTAAACTTCCATGGTAGTCGGTGGGTCTTTCTATTTATTTGTTTTTTTCTTTTCTTTTCTTTCTGGTTCTGCCTCTGATGGTGTCAGTTGTTGACCCTATCTGAACTTGGGCCATTTGTTTGAGCATTCCAGGAATCTACTCTCTGTGTCTGCCTCCTGTGATTGAAAATCCGTTCACACGTTCCTCATTTGTCAGGCTTAGGCACCACAGGGCGGAGCCGTGCCTCCTGATTGTGGGACTACCATCCCCTTATAAGCTCCTGACACTCAGGGGAGTAGTCCGCCTGAGCAAGATGGAGATTGTGGACTAGGGAAGATTTACCACCGGGAGTCCTCAACGCCTCTGTCTCCAGTCTCTCCTGGAAGGTCTCTGGGCAGCTCTGTGACCCCTTCTGCCAGGGATCCACTATTTCTGCGGACCACTCGGCACCGGCCAACACAAGCCCTCACCTGCAGTGCAGGTGTCAGTTCACGCGTGCCCTTGCTGGTCTGTGCACTTCCTTGCAGGCCCCATCGTTCCTGGCCTGCCCAAGCCCCTGCCAGCCCGCATGGTCGCGGGTCCGCACATGCCCTCACCAACCCTCGCTGGCAGATCATGTGTATGCATGTACCTGCACTGGGTGGTTTTGGTCTGCCTATTGTGTGCTTTTCAGCTTTTGGCTCTTTGAAGGCATGGCCTGCCTGTGCACAGTGGAGACTATGAAAAGGAGGAGGAGTTGGGTCTCCTCTGTTCCTCCTCCTGTTCTTTCCCTAACGCCTCCATTTCCTCCAGTCTCTCCTCAAGGCTCTCTATGCAGCTGTTTGTCCCCTTTGGCTAGGGATCCTCTATTTCTTCCATCCTGTCTTCTCTGAGCTCCCAGCTCACATGTGCACAATCTGTGTGCAGAGCACACAAAAAGCAGGTTAATTGATTCTCTTATGTCTGAGCGAGATGGTAGCTGCAGAGTGGGAGGTGAGTTATCACCACGGCTCCGCTGGCCAACGTTTCAGTTCTCTTCACAAAGTTTTCCTCACCAGTCTTTCCTCAGGCACCAGCCCACTCTGCTCCCACCTCTACCCAGAGATCAAGGAAGGCGGCTGACACTGCAAATTTTTGCGTTGGCCTTTTAAATGTCTCTTTGCATCCCGAGCTGCCTGTCTCTGGCAGAGAGTGCCCCTAAGCTTTTTGGGGTTGCATTTTGTCTGTGTGTTTTATTTATAAAAATAAATAAAATAAAATAAAATAAAATAATAGAAATGGTATTCTTCATATCCTCTTGTTTCTTCTTCATAGTTTTATGTCCTTTTCCAGGTTGATACAGTTTGCTGAAAGATCCTGATAGTTTTTCTGCAGTTTCTAATAGTTATCTTTGAGCTGACTGAACTTCTTGAGCTTCCTGGTTTGAGCTGCTGTAGTTTAGGGGTCCCTGTTTATGACTCAGACCCTTTTCCTTTCAGGGGAATCCAACTAGCCATTTCAATATCACTCTGGTGCTGGTGCCTGTGGGTGCCCAGCCCACCCTCATGAGACTTCACCACACTTCTCACCCATTCAGATGTGTGAAAGTTGATTCCACTGTCTGTCCACAGCTCCAAGGCTCCTCTCCCTCTATCGTTCTGTTGTTTTCAAGGTGATTTCTCCAGTATTCCAGTTTGGTCTTGGGAGGCGGTCCACATGACCCCCATTCACTCCTCTGCCATCTTTTTTTCTCTATTTTTAAAAATATTTTATAATTGACTTTCACATTTAAAAAAATAAAAAAATCAAACTACATTAAAGAAGAAAGAATGAATGAAGAAGAAAAAGAAAGAAAGAAAAGAAAGAAAGAGAGAAAGAAAGAAAGAAAGAAAGAAAAGAAAGAAGGAAAGGACTCCTGCCTTTTGCGATATCATGTATAGAACTGGAGAATATCATGCTAAGTGAAATAAGCCAGGTGGTGAAAGACAAATACCATATTATCGCACCTATACATAAAATTGATTCAACAAAATAAACTAAGAAACAAAATATACCACAAGTATGGAAACATGGAGCAGACTGAAAGTGACCAGTGGGAATGTGGATAGAGGACAATGGTAGAAAGAAAGAGAATGGACTAGACAAAGAAAATGTATGAATGAGTCATGGACATGGATAACAGAGTGGGAATTGACTGTGGGATTTGGGGGTGGGGGTGGGATGAGTGGAGGGGTCCAAAGGGGAAAAACTGAGACAAATGTAATAGAATAAACATGACTTAAAAATTGAAAAAAAAAAAAAGAAAATGTGAGCAAGAAAAATGGCAGTAATGTATACCTATCCAAAAAAATCATGAAAAATACATAATAAATAAATAAATAAACGTTAGATTGAAAATTATAAAAATCGTAGAAGCAAACATTGTAAAATCTTGAATGTTTCTCATACCAGCATATTTTCTCATATATCTCCTCAAGCAAGTGAAAAAATTGGACTACATCATACTAAAAAGTTCTTTCTTTTATTTCTAAAACAGCAAAGTATTTGTAGTATTTTTTATTTTATCTTTTAAATTAATTTATTTTTTCAAATACATTTGTCTCTGCCTTCTCCCACCACTTTCCCTTGCCCTCTCCCTCCCTCCCTCCCTCCCTCCCTCAACTCTTCCCCTTTGGTTTTGTCCGTGAGTCCTTGCTATATGTTCCTTGACTTTCTGCTTCCCTGCTTTTTACTGGCTAAGATCAAGTGTAGTATCTGTTCTTATCAGTTTAATAAGTTTTTACAGAGGAACAGAAGCCATCAACAAAATGAAAAGACAACTCACTGAATGGGAGAACATATTTGCCGATACATCTGATAAGAGGGTAATATCCAAAATATGTAAAGAACTTATACAACTCAATAACAAACAAAATCCAAACATTCGTAAAGATGAGCAAAATATCTGAATGGACAGTGGTCTGAAGAGGACATACATATGGCCAATAGGTAGTTGAAAAGATGCTAAATGTCACTAATCATCAGATAAATGTAAATTAAAACCACAGTGAGATATTACCTCACACCTGTCACAATGGCTATCATCAATAAATCAAAAAACAATTGCTGGTGAGGTTTTGGAGAAAAGAGAACCCTTGCACACTGTTGTTGGAAATGCAAATTGGTGCAACTGCTGTGGAAAGCAGTAGGGGGATATCTCAGAAAATTAAAAATGAAACTGTCTTACAACCCAGCAATTCCACTTCTGGGAATTTATTTGAAGAAACCCAAAACACTAATTTGAAGGAATATACACACCCATATGTTCATCGCAGCGTTGTTTACCATACACAAGGTTTAGAAGCAGCCCAAGTGTCTATCAGTAGATGAGTGGATAAAACATCTATGGTACATTCACATGATGAAATACTACTCAACCATAAAAGGAAGAAAATTTTACCCCTTGCAACAGCATGGATGAACCTGGAAAACATTTTGCTGAGGGTAATAAGCCAGTCAGAGAAAGAAATACCATACGATTTCACTATATGTGGAATCTTATGAACAAACTGAATGAACAAGCACAATAGAAACAGATTCATAGATAGAGATCAGGTTGACACAGCTCTGGGGAGTGTGGTGGGGTTGATGGATGTATTGAGCAAAAAAGAAAAAAAAGAGAGAAAGAAGTCATGGGTATGACAACAGTGTGGTTATTTGAGGAGACAAGGGTGGGTTGAGGTGAAAGAAGATATAAGGGAGATAAATGGTAATGAAAAAAAAACACAATAAAAATAATTTTTAAAAAGAGAACAAAATATTATATATATTTACTAAAGGTTATTATATATTTAAATATTAATGTGCATAGTCACATAAGTTATTATATAACCTTAGTATTATATTTTACTGTTAATTTGTAGAAATAATAAGCTATAATGCAATGGGGGAAGGGACTATCTCTGCTAGATGTTGTAAAGCTACAAGAGTTAAAACATGGTGGTATATGAAATAAACAAATCAGCAATAATAAAAATACATGACACTCAAATAGGTCCTTTTATAGAAACTACTAGGTATATAAGAAAATATGCATATTGTAGACACTCAACATTGTTCATTGAATGAATTAATGAATAAACAAATGAGGCATAACCAATCGGTGGGAGATGAAATGGTTATGAAAAAACTTCCTTTTATGTGCTGAACATATTTACACATATTATCACTCATAAGCTTTACAATAACCATATGAAGTATGATTCACTTTCCTTCTGTGGATGAGGAAATAGAATTCAAGAGAAATTAAGAAAACAGGCAAACCTACACAACTCATAAGTGACAAAGCCAGGACAGGAACACAGGTTTATCTGACCCCAAAGCCAGTCTTCCTCCTATAACATCACACTGTTTCAATATGAATGCCACTATGCAAACAATGTACTGTGTTGCAAAAGCAAGGTGCAAGGAGGACACAGCAAAATAGTAGCAATGCTGGTGTTAGAGAGGTTGATTTTGAATTTCCATTTTTGGCATTTTGTTATTGCTTATGTGTATAATTTAAAAAATCCCATTATAAACAAAGCAATAATGAACATCAGAGAAGGAGGGAGAGAGAGGGAGAGGGAGAAGGAAGAAGAGAGAGAGAGAATGAATTAAGGTGACAGAGAGTGATTGCTTTCTATCTATAAGAAATGTTCTTAAGGATGAAGGCTATGTCTCATTAAGTTGTTATATTAAACTTTCTAATAAAATCTCAACTTTTCCTTAAATGGCAAAAGATCTAGCCTTGTGCTTGTTTTTTTTCCCCAGAAAAGAATGTAATGAGTGTTTAGGGAAACGTGGCTTTATTGTCTGAGTCAGTTTCTCCACTGCCCAGGCTAGAGTCTCAGTATGTTATTCAGATGTTACAAAGACTAGAGTATATACCATAGCTAGCAGCAGGGAATTCTGGGAGTTAATAAAGATATCCTTTATAACAATTCCATTAGACAACAAATTTAACAATATCTCTTGTCCATATGCTTCCAAAAGAGACACTGAGAGATTGCTTTTCTTGCACACACAGACACACACACAGACACACACACACAAAAATAGATTCTCTCCAAAAACCTGTCCAACATTCATATGTGTTTACTCTGCCTGGCATAAGAGTAATTGGGTTCAAGTGGTTTACTCTTTGGTACTTTTTAGTACAAAAGTTTGAGGCAGAATTTCCACAAAGCAAGTTACCTTAATATCATCAGCAGCAGTAGTATCATCATAAAAATTTGTCGAGTACATCATAGGTGCCATAGCCTGTAATAATTGATTTACGTGTTATTTAAATTTCAAAATTCTTGTCAAGTAGGTACTATTATTATTATCATCATTACAAAGAGGGGAAAGTGGAAAGACTAAAGAACTTGCCCAAGAACACACAACAACTTGTTAGTATGTGGAGAGAAATCCCTTCTAACTTACCAAATAATAGAGATTGTTACCTAATTGCATCTGAATTCAACCTGGGAAGAGGATTTTCCCTCCTCCTCACCTGTCCACTGCCTGTATGATTTCATTTCATCCATAAAGAAAAGGCAGTGAAGGCATGGGGATTTAAGATTATGTTGCTGAGTGCTAGCTGGTCCCTATTGTCTGAAATACATCTGAGTTTAAAATAATTGCACACTTCTTGTCTGGTTCTAAGAGATGTTTTCCACAGATTGTTCTCTATGTATATCATGGTCTGTTTCATGTGTTCAAAAGATGAACCATCAATCATAATCCCTGACCTTGAGGCAGCTACCATCTAGACAAATGGTGATTATGTGTGAAGAGCATAACTGCTTGCATGGTAAAAATAACATGTGGAAAAAGTGCACAGATGCAACTCTAAATCCACTGAAGTAAAGAAAGATATTTTGCATAAATTGAAGGTTGTGAAAGAGTGAGTGTGATGGGGGTTACCTGTTTGGAAAGTTAGTACTCAAAGAGTTTTTGCACTAATTTTGACTTCATGAAGGTCATCTGCAGGAGCCATTTGGAAAACCAGAAAGGATGGAGTTGACATGGTGAGGAAAGGTGTGAAAGAAAATCTCTCGATATTGGGAATGTTGCAAGAAGGCTCAAAAGAAGAAATGGAAAGCCTGCATATGGAAGTATTCAGTGGAGAACACGTAGCTCTGAATTCACTGGATAAGCAAGAACTTGTTTGAAAGAAAGAAGATAGAAAGTGAGAAATTGTTGAGAAAGTTCTCTTACTCAGGGTGTGAAGTAGATATAGATACCAAATATTTTAGGGTAGAAGGAAACTAATGTGGACTGTACTGATCAATTGTATTATTGCCTCTGAATTCTCTTTGAAAGTAAAAGCCATCTTCTTATATTAAAAATAATTAACATTTATTGCAAACTTCCCATGTGCCAGAATCTAACTAAGTCCTTTGTATGTATTATCTTGTGTCATCCTCAAAACAGCTTCACAAAGTACAACCCCTAACAGATGGGAAATTTGAGGTCTATTAAGATTAAGTAACAAGTCCAAGTTCACACATATTGTAAGTGGTTGAGCTCATGGCTGCTTGACTCCAAGACACACATGGTCCATCTTTGGCAATGTACCAATCTTTCCATTCTTTGCAATATGAACCAGACCCCAAGAAACTGATATGGCTGGCGAGCAGGCTGGTAGCTCTCTGATGAGTCTTCTTGTAAAGAATGCATGCAATCATTTATTATTCCACATGCCTCTATTATTTATGCATTATAATTATAATAATTATAATTATTATGCACAGAAAGAGGAGAAGGAAGGGAACTAAAAAGGGCCTTCCAGCCATTAAGGCTCCACTATGCAGTTAATGCATTAATTAATCAATGGCTTCCCATTAGCTACAGGAAAATGTAAACATACAACTAGAAATTTCTGGGTACCACCCAGTCTCAGGTAAAAACAATAGTAAATATGGATGAGATAATCCCAGAATCCAGAAGTAAACCACACATATATAAAGTTTGTCCAAAAGGTATCCAGTCATGTCATATGAAAAAGAGAGACATATATTGAAGAAGACACAAGAACAAAAAACATTGTACATAGGACAGTGAAGCTCAGTCCCTTTCAAAAGTCACCTTGGAACCTCAAAGTTTTCCCATTCACAGTCAGCTACCCTGTAGTATTTTTCTGGTGTGAAATCTGTTCTTTCAAAGGTAATTTTAGTTTTGGGAAAAGCCAGAAGTTGCAGAGCACCAAATCTGGGCTGTAGCGGGGGCTGAGTCACCTGGGTGATTTGATGTTTTGCCAAAAAAAATCTGCACCAGACTTGATGCACGAGCAGGTGCCCTTTCGTGATCAATTTGCTGATCACCAGTTACCCATAGCTGTGGTCTTCTGAATCATCCAAATAGTTTCCATGGAAGAATGTCCAAGCTTAACACATAATTGGTTGCAGATTCATTGCTCTACTCAGTCAGTTTGAACACAACAGCCGCACAGTACACATGCTTACCCAATGGCATCTACTACTCCCCACTGACTAGTACAGTGAATTTGTCATTGTTCATGTATGTTCATTACAGTCCACTCTCCTTATCTGCCAAGTTACATCGATATTGCGCAAACCATTATCGTTATATGAATGTCTGGACTTTTTCCAGACAGACTTTGATAACTACCAGTAATTAGATTTAGGTCCTAACACAAAATCTAGTATGATATCATCTTGATATCCTTAATTACAGTTTAAAAGAACCTATTTTCCAAATAAGAACACATTCATTGGTATCAGGAGTTAGGACTTGAATACAATTCAAACAAATATAACCCCATAACAAGACACTTGTCAGCTCTGCTTTATTCCTTTTTCACCACCATCCTCTCCATCTACCTTTTCTTCTCCCTTTCCTTCTGTGTAAATTGCAAATGTGGTACTTCAACTCAAAA